TTTTTATTAAGCCTTAGTCCGTAGTATTATATTTCTCCATATGGGATCGATAACTATGACTCCATTAGAGCCCAATATTACTTGAGCGATACGTATACTTGCGTTGACAAATTCGACTTTGACATTATTTAATATTATATCTATACGTCTTTATTAAATCAAACACATATATATAAAGTCACAGTCAAGATTTTGACACTGTTGCTAGAATTTAAATCTTCTAGTAGTGTCATCAAATTCTTGTAATTATCAATTTACAAAAATAAAAAGGTCGGTCACCCATTCCTCGATGGTTTGTCCTACTCGTTAGAAAAGTGACTCTGTGTTGGTCGCGATGCCTTAACGAGCATTGCTTGCTTGGTTGATCCCGACAAGCAATGTGAATTAAGTCATTGGGATTGACACGAGTATGACTGTGTTAAGGATTTAGTAGATCTAACTCATGTCACCACTCTTTGTAACACCCTTTAGATCATTCAGATCTTTAGGATGGGGCCGGTATGACGACCCCGTCAAAGTCATACGATACCCAGACTTACGCCACACTTAGATATTAAGTTGACACACTTTTTGTTAGATGGTGTATTCTGTTAAGATTTATGATGCTAGGTAGTCTTTTTGATGCATGACTATTGTTCTTTGTTGAATTGGTTGCCCTAGTAATGCATATTTCTTTTGCATTGTGCTTGTTGTGTGATTGCATGCTGCAGATGTATGATAATGTGCTAGGGCATCCTCTGCAGGGAGCCATGCCTTTTTATATGCACACACACATGTATCGCTACAGGGGGAGCATGTGATGATTTATGACGCTTTTGTTTGCAAATGTTATTTAGCTCTCCCACTTTTAAGACATGGCTCCTGATACGTTATTTGCATGTGAACTTTCCCGCAGACACTTTTTTTCATGTAGGATTGAGTTTTTTTCTCCATGTATTTTAAGAGTATAGGAGAGTCCGGTAGCAGAAATAAGATACGGGCACGAGTTCTAAGACGTTTAGCGCGGGAACCACGCAGAGAGGACCAAGAGCATATGTCCATGCCTCGTATCTTAATTTTTCATTTTATATTGATGTATAGAATAAGACCGGACATGTATATGTGGTCCAACCGCCTTTTTATTTTCTGGGATATGTTGCCGACCCAGCGGTATCAGTCTGTTTATTATTTTGATTTTGTTTGTTTTGCTTTTTGCATCATGTTGCATGCCTGCACTTGCATGTGTTTTCCTTGTTTCTTTCTTTGGTTTATATGGGATTTCACGATGAAATATATGTTCTTTAGAACTTAAATTCCTAATCTCTTACAAAATCATAAATAAAATATTTAAGTTAAATAAAATTTAGGATTAAAAAATTCAAGATTTAAAAATTGCAACATTTACTTTCCTTGATATATTAATAGGACCTCCACAATACTTATGACCCCTGTAGATAACTGCATTCATATTTGCATGTCCAGATGAGGAGTCCCCGTACTTCTCCAACCTGACTGGCCCAACATACTTTCATATAGGTGGTTGTCTAGCGCGCCTAGGGTGTTAGAAGGCTCCCCGACTCATACGGGGTATAAGTCCTTTTGTTTGGAGTGTTTCCAGCTTTATAGCTGATCATTCACTTCTTCTTTCTTAAGGCATCATTGTCACTTCGGTAGGTATAAGTTCCATCACTTGGAGCTCCAACTTTTTAGTCATAAGATAAAGTTTCCTTCCTTTGACCTTAGGGCTGCCAAAGTTCCCGTGGACGACACAATTCACGAATTGCTGATCAAAAACCTCAGGATGTGTTGGGTCGATTATCTTCACGACTAGGTAGACTTAGGGTCCTAGTAGCTCTGTATGACAGGTTTGTGGTACCCCAACCCAATTACTTCTACATTTTATGATCACTCTACCTTCCTTTTTGTCGAGCCTCTCTGAGCCATGTCGCTCATTGACTTCATTGATATCACCTTGACGACTCGATACTGATGAACTGCTGCCCATTCAGGTATGATGATTTGTCATCTGCCATTATGGCCCGGACGTGCTTTGACGTGCTGGGATATCCCCGTCAAGATGATTTAGGTTATTCAGTGAGCCCTGTGTGCTGATTAGCCGCTACCCATTTGGGATGTGAGATACTCACTCTCTGCTTGATGGCTTAACGTGAGCTTTGAAGCATCAGAACTGTTCCCACACAAAATAACCTTCATTTGATTGCCTATACCCCCGATTTATGATAATATGAAGCGAAACTCCTTTTATCGAGAGTGCTCTTGGGTATCCCCCAAGTTGTAATTAACCAGTAGAAACACATTCCTTTGGGAGTGCTCTTGACCCCAAAACATGTACATACACCTGACTTTCTGGTTATGGGCAGTCTACGTGTATACTTTTTTCGCGGATATTGGTTTAAGGTGTCTTCACCCGATCTTGTTTGGGCGGACATTTTTAACATATCATTGCGAGGTTTATCGCACGTAGACTCTTCACGTTTTACTTTTTCTCTTGTTTGTCATTTTGTCGTATGTCCCTTCTTGTTTGATTCCTCTCCTCTACGAATCACTGATTTGATTTGGGAGAGAGATTTATTCGAATGTGGGAAGTATACGACGATTGACAAGCTGACGACTCCTTTAAAAAAAGAAAAATGAATGGAAACAAGCTTTTCAGTGGGTGGGCCCCACTTTAAGTAGTCGACCCTCCCCACAATATAAGGAGGAGTAAGTTATTTATCTCCTTACCTCCTCGTTATGTGTGCTGGCTTTGCAAAAACTTGGCAAGTTTGACCGACCCTTCCCTCGGCTAGAAGTGGGGGTGATCAACGGGTGTCGAAGGACCTCCAAGGCCACACCTTTTTTATTTATTTTTTCTCTGAGTTGTGTGTCAAAGGGATGGATTTTCTTCGGGTTGGGTGTCAAACGTTGTCCATGTCAAGGTTAAAATCCTGTCGGAAATCCTTTATGCGAACGAATGTAGTGGACTTTCGGGAATGGTGAAAGTGATGCCACTTCGTCGAGAGGTCAATACATTTGTTTGACCATTGTTGCTATATGTTTGAAGTTTTTTTGATCCTTGGACCCCATCGGTCCAGGAGTAGGGCTTAACACCTATGGTGGCAACAGTTTCTCCTCTCTCTTTCTCCAAATGCTCCTCATTGTGGGAGAAGCTCGTAAGAGAGCTTGAGTCCAGGCGAGAGGCCCCAACCTTATTTTGCTTCTGCTGCATTTTGCTTTTGATCATAATTGAGAAGAAATTTGATGCAAAAATGGTTGGAATATGGTCGAGAGACGAGAACGAGGAAGGAAGCTGGAATTCTTAGAGAGAAGAAGCCGAGAGACCTCCAACAGGTTTCTCAGCAGTGGACTGCTCTTTCCGTGGCGAATGCAATAATCTGTTGATGAAGCATAGATCCAACATTTTCCCAGGGAGGATTACATTTGCCCGACGGTGTGTTGCCTAAAAAGATGAACTTGTCGTATTTTTCTCTTGCTAGCAGCAATGGTCGAGTTTTCTCTTTCCTTCACAATGTATTATTTTGGTTAAAAATGTAAAGTGCGTACCTGGTGTGTTTGTTGATAAAAAATACCTTATATCTTTCAACTGAAATAAATTACCTTTTTTATTCTTATCGTGCCTTGTTTCTACCGAACCTTACTTTTTATGTTTTTTATGTTTGTTGTGTAGTGGTTATCTTGTTATAGATTGACGACAGTGCTTCTCTTAAGTCTTTTGTTTTGTTCAGCCAGAGCTTGATCGGTGAGGATGATTGTTCGACGTGGCTCGGTCAGACCAAGTTCCTCGAGTGTCCTAGGGAGCTGAGGCATTGAAATAAGAATTAATTTCTAATTTATTGTGTCGATCATACTTACAATAAGTAACGACACTTCCCTTATTGTGTACATTAAATAAATTCAAAACACAAAGTTCTTATAAGGAAAAAAAATTCTTTAAGTCGTTTCCGCTCAACGTCCGCAAGAGTTCCTTTCTAACATATGACTTTGGTACATTAAATAAATTCAAAACACAAAGTTCTTGTAAGGAAAAAAAATTCTTTAAGTCGTTTCCGCTCCACGTCCGCAAGAGTTCCTTTCTAACATATGACTTTGGTCGGCATGCCTCAGATCAGACACGTTGGCAGACTATATGAGGTCTGCTCAAGTCTGGACCAATTTATCCACGGCTTATCTAGGAGCTGCCAAGTCAAACTTCTTTAGGACTAAAAATTATCACCTGAGACAAAGACTTCCCCCAAAATGTTTTCTACCTAGTAATTAAATAAAATTCGAGGTCTAAAAATTATACCGCCTCTTAAAAATAATGTGGTTCCCAGTGTTTCGGGGGCATTAGAAGCTTCGGGTTAGCGAAGCGACTCGGCCATTGGACGGATATGAGATTCGGACTTTCTCTGGCCGTGACACCTACGCCGCCTCCACCACTGCCCTTGCTGCTCCGCCTCCGCCCCACCATCGGAAATGTATTTTTCTCATATTCCCCTTTCCCTGCTCGTAGGCCAATGTGGTTCCGACCGATTTACTTCATCACCGGTGCAGCCGCCGCCGGAACAAGATCCGAAATGAAGCAGGTCCGAAGGTCAAGAAGCATCGCCGTACCGCTTCCCTTCCCCTTGCCCTATCCATTTTCCTTGCTCGCTGGATGCGGTGTACGGAACCTCTGTAGTCCTCGGGCTTCCCAGGCTTCTGATTCTTCCGCATCCATTGACTCCAACGCCATCCAGTCCATGGAGACTAAGGTTTTTCCTTACTTATGCAGCTTTGGATGGCTGTCTTCCATTTTAATGGTAGTGGCGCTGTCGGCATTAAGGATTTCTATGACAGTTTGCTCTCTGGCCCATCGGGATATTGTCCCCTTTGACGTACCTAATGGCCTTATGATTTTGTCTCATTGCTTTGAGGGGTGCTCACATACAAGCACACTTAACTTTGAAGTTTTTGATGAAACTACAATTGTCACAACAAAATGTGACTCAATGATTAAGAGTTCAACTTCATTATACTTAAGGGGTTTAAATAATTATTCACACTTAAGTAATTGATGTCATTGATAGTGCTTTAAACCAAAAATCATCCATCAAGCAGACAAGATTTTAGAGATGACCTCTACAGATTTAAGAGGTGTCTTGCACTATGTAGCATTTTATCTCATCTAATGTTCAGAATGTGGCTTTCATATCATATCACTTTGTTTAGTATGACATTTAGTTTCCATCTTTAGGTCGATATAATGCTTTGATATCATTTGTAATAGTCTAACTCTCTCCCACAAGATATTGTTCTCTTTGAACTAATGGTCTCATAATTTTGTCTTGTATGAACACAATTGACATTGGAGTTTCTATGAAACTCCAACCGTTACACCAAAAGACGCCTCGATGAGTTCAACTTCATTCTACTTAAAGGATTTCATAATTTTTTTCACTTAAGTAACGGACATCTTTATTAGTACTCTAAACCCAGAATCATCGATTATATATATATGATTTGAGAGGTCGCTCCCACCATATATAATTTTTGTTTCCTGTAAGATTCAAGAGATGGCTTTCATAGAGTAAAATTTTTTTTTGTGTGATATTTAGTTCCCATTTTTTGTCTGGTGTAATGCTCTGATATCATTTATAATAGTTCAAACTCTCAGCTATCAAGATATCGTTCGTCTTGATCTAGTAGCCTCACATTTTTATCTCATTGGTGAACTTCCTATGAAAGTGTACCTTGGAGTTTCTGATGAATCTCCAACTGTTATGCTAAAAGAAACATCGATATTTAAGAGTTTAACTTCATTCTATGTAAGGGGTTTCACAATCAACCCTACTTAAGTAGTTGAGTTCTTGTCGTTGTTCTAAATCCCAAATCACCGACCAGGTAGAAAGGATTATAGAGGTGAATTTTATAGATTCAAGATGTGAACCTTATATATTTAAGAGGCAACTTCTGACATGAAACACTTTGTTTCATATAGAGTTCAAGATATGACTCTTATAGTGTAGCACTTTATTTTATATGACATCTAGTTCCGATCTTCAGGTTATTGTAATGCTTTGATACCATTTATGACAACTCAAACTCTCACCCATCGGGATATTGTCTGCTTTGAGTTAATGGCCTCACAATTTTGTCCCATTGGTGTAACTTCCCATATGATCACACTTAACTTCCAAGTTTCCAATGAAACATCAACCGCTACACCAAAAGTTGCGCCAATATTTAAAAGTTTAGCTTCATGTTAATTGATGGATTTCACAATTTCCCCCACGCCATCTTCAGTTTTGTAAAACCAAAATCATCCACCAGGTGGATAGGATTATAGGTTGGTCTTTACAAATTCAAGAGGTGGCTTTCATTATGTAGCACTTTGTCCCATCTAGGGTTAAAGAGGTCGCTCCCATAGCAAGTCGTTTTATTCAGTATGACACTTAGTTCTCATTTTTTAGCTAGTGTAATGCACTGATACTATTGGTGATAGCCTAAACTCTCACTCATCTAGATATTGTCCGCTTTAATTTAGTAGCTACACAGTTTGTCCCATTGTATAACTTCCCAAGATGTCAAGCATCCTAGGAGTGCACCAACTCGAGCGTGCTCAACTTTGGATTTATGATGAAACTCCAACTGTTAAACAAAAAAACAGCTCGATATTTAATAGTTCACCTTTATTCTACTCGAGCGGTTTCACCGTTTCATTATGCTTCTTCGTTCTTGATAATTTGGAGTAAGCAGCAAATTGCTTATTGAGGCCTGAAAATCGTAATTCCTAACATCAGTATGCCACAGTAATCTATGCTTTGACAAGGTTTAGGGAGAAGAAGCCACAGTAAAGCTACTGTCACCTATTCAGCACGCCAGTGGAGTTCTTGAACATTATCCATCCACAAAAGCAGGCAAAGAAAAAAAAGAAAAACTTATGCAGCAATAGCATTATACCCCCTTCAGTATAAAGAAGAAAGACAAAGCAATCCACTTCCTGTGAAATGAATGTGAAAGAAAGGTTGGTGTCTGTCCAAGCAGATCACTTATCTGTTCAGGAAGTTATCATTATTTTGCTAAAAAGGGTACACACGGTACAAGCACATTATAAACCTGTTGTGGACAATCCAGTTATTAATTTACAAAAAAATAACAAATGAATAAATAAAAGGGACACATGAGAGCGGCCAAAAGTATTTTTCCAGATCTGGACATGGGCAAAGCACTTTTCTCAAACAGTTACTAAGCTAGAAAAATGTTATATTCTATGTAAGCCTTATTTTTTAATCTCGATGAATTTTGTATTTTCCATGCCTACTGTATGTTTTTGACCATCGGAAAATACTTTAAGCTTTCATTAGAATTTTCCTTGAAGATTATCGTCTTTGGAGAACCCTCTGTTGCTGTTTCAGCCACTTTCTTTCTTCACAATAGAAAGAAACTCTGATAATTCCCATCAATTTATCAACAAATATGTTCACCAACTATACTGGTTGTATCTTCGAGCTTGTTGTGAATGGTCAATGCATTCCTTTTGATGTATGCATTCTGCAAGATGCTCTGTCTTATTCTTTATAGCAAGCTCGTAACTTATTTTTGTCTGAAAATATTGTTGATGCGCTTCAGGTGCTCAACTTGAAGTATATTCTCTAAGTATTTCTAGTAAAACACAAACCTTCTACAAAATGCTTTCCAGTGATGCCTTTGTATGCTTTATAAGAGCAGTCTCTTTTGTCACTTTGCTTGAAAACATCCCTAATTCATTTGATTTTTGTCATCTTATTGAGCAGATCAAGGAAAAACTAAATGCAGATGTTGTCATTGTGAAAGATGCTTATGGTGATGGCCGACATATCAGGTTTGGCTGCGTTATTTTATAAAATCTATGCATGCTTTTTGTGGAATTACGCTCATTATTATTTACTTTAATGTTATTTAGTACTTGCTATATTTTGTGATAGTATAAAAATAGTAATTCTTAATTATAGGTATTTATGTTTATTCTATAATTATAGGAATTACTTAATTGTAGGAAGATTTCTTTCCTTGTTTTATTTCTTGTAAACGCCTATTTATAGGTGAATTATCTATGTATTCATTGAGAAGAAAGTTATTCAAAAAATTCACATATATATATATAAGAATTAATCATACATTGGGTTGGATCTTAAATGGGATTGGATTGTCCCAACTTAGATTCAATCTGCTTGATCGTATACAGATTGATTTTATGATTGAGTTTAATTTTCGAGTCATATTAGTTTTTTTACTTGGTTAATTGGATCAATGCTCGAATTGAGATGAGTTGTGACCTAATACATTGATTCGCCTATGTTTAGGAAATACAAGGGGTTACCAATTTCATAATATTAAGGAAGTCAAATGGGAAGTGGGCATGTGTATTGAATTTAACAATCTTAACAATGCCTTCCTTGCAACCTCTTATACATTTCTGGCCCTCAAGTGCGTTATAGCTTATATTTGAAATTTGTATCAGTATGATGCATACAAATTCAAAAAAATAAAATAACACAACTATGAATTGAAAGAAAGAGTTACTACAATGTATGCCTCAATGCATATGAGTTGTATGGTAGGCTCAAAATTGATTTTAGGATTATTGTAATTGATTTCTGTCATATTAGATATCCATAAAATTATGTACATTTATTTTTTTGAATATTTTTTATCAGGCATTTTTTATTTTAAATTTTATAATTAAAAAAAAAAAGTAATTTAGAATTAAAAATCTATACTAAAATCATTGATTCTTAAACATTCATTGAGGAATATCATAATTTTTACACTTAGTCTTAGATCCTCTTATTTATTTTTTATTTTTAATGACACTATTGGGCTAGAACATCCATTGGGACCCTTTATGCTAGCTTTTAATCTACCTGTCACTAGTCTGTCGCTAATCTTTTTACATAGTTGGCCGCCCTTATTTAGTTATCTTGCGCCAACCACTCCTACTTCTCAACACTCATCTAGCATATACTAATGTCAGCTTGCTCTTCTATCAACATACATAAGGGGATTTTGAGCATCTTGCACATTCATGTTAACTATGACTTCCAGATGTTTAATTCCACACCCTTGCCTTCCTATAAACACTTGCCAACTTCCACTTCCCAAATCTTATATGCCAACTCCTATGGACATGTGTTGGATTGCAACTTCTTTCTACAGGCACCCTTTTTTGTTGGTTGATGACCCACCCAAATTGAGGTGTCGTGATTTGTCTTTTTTTACCTACCGCATCTTCAATTATCAACGCCCATACGTGACTGCTATTCAAGTGACATCCTATGTTGATGAAAATCATATCCTTTGAGCTATTAAATGGTCCTTGCAAAAATAGGTTGGTATCCGATCATGTTTGGCATGTGACTAGCCCATTCACCTTCATGATCTTTACACTCATCTTTTGATGCTTGACTAGCCTTAGCCTATTTCTCGATGCGACAAACTCATCAATCTTCAAGTTGATGACATGGTTCCTCAGTATTTAACCAACTTAACGTGTTTGCCATAATCTGAGTATTATTACCCTTGCTGTCATGTGTGCTCACCTTATCTCTATTGATTGTCAAAATGTGCCTCATTTTGTACTTATAAAGGACTTTGGGCCTTAGAAGGGGCACGACGAAATGAAATAGAAATATTTTTTTTTTGAAAATTTCTCATGCTTCCACTTTATATTCCCCCTTCTTGATTATACATATACATATATACATATACATATATATATATATATATATACACATTTTTTTTTGAAAAGCCCAATGACTGATGAAATAGAAAAGATACATAAAGACTGTATGAATAGAGCCCAATAGAGGCACCCTACCCATACAATACCAAGTAAAGTACTACCCCAACAAAAGGATATAGATAGACTCAAAAAAATTTAAAAACATGCAGAAAACAAGTAGCTAGGGACGGTCCAGTTTATTTCTGCCTTTCCCTCTAGTTTTAGGAGCGGAGTCAAATAACAAACTTTGAAGTGTCGTGCCATTGCCAGAAGTAACCAAAGTATCATCCATTAAGTTTCCAAGTTGGAGTGTGCCCTCGGCCTTCTTCCGTCGAGAAGTGTAAAACTGTCATTCTTCATGTGAAGACCAACTCATGTGATCCTCGGTCTGATTAGATATTAAAACCTCAGTAGAAAGAAAGGTAGCTGTTGGCACAACGATATGTTCCAGTGTATGTGAAGTGTGAATTGTCACCTCTGCACTTGATGCTTCCTGAATAGGAGTTGCGGGGCTATCCTGACTTTCGGTCCGGACATTTTCCCTTATAGTATGGTCAGGAGAAGGGTTCCCAGGGGCAGACACCATTTTCTGTTTTGTGGTGATTCCCTCATCAGGTTGGCTGTCATCAAATTTGTTGGGAGCGCGTTCAGGCACGTGGGGTGCACTAACAACATGTTCCTGTTTTTGACTATTTGTTCTCATTTGTAGGTGCAATCCGAAACATTTCTCTTGCGGGTGTCCAAACATCTTGCAGTGCTTGCAGTAATGGGGTTTTTGTTCCATAATGATTTTTTGCCAATAACCATTATGAGCAGAACCAAACCAAACTTCTTCAATATCTGGTAGTGTAATATCTCTTTCAATCAAAATTCTGACAATAGAGGACCTTGAGAAATGAACTGTAGGTGCGTCTACCTGCAAATGCTTTCCAAGGATAGTCTCAATTGTATATAAGTAGGTAGGTCAAATAATTGAAGCTTGAGTTCAGATAATGAGAACCAGATAAGCACAATTGGGGGTTCTTGACTGGGATCAAAATCAGGGGTCCATTTGAGGAATTTCATATGATTGCCCTCGATTGTGATGAATTTTTTTGATAAAATACTTGTGTAATCTTCTTTTATGTTCAGTTGTATCATAACATGTCTTCCGTCGAAAAGACCCACCTGCCAACTAGTTTGAAATCTTCAATAAACTTCCTGATAATCTTCATCTTAGGGGGACTTAATTGGAACTATTCAACTAGTAAAAATTTGTATTTTCCTGCACGAGTTGAAATTTCAGCATCAGACCCAACTTAGATTCAATCT